ACAAATATTTAGCTCCCAAGAGTTGAGTCACCGTCATGGGGCTGACCAGACATCACCCCCTTTCAAAGCATGGCGTTGACGCCGTTTTTCTCTGGCCTGTCATCTTCTCCTCCTGGCCAACGCCGCTCCTGTGCTTCTGTGTCATCATCCTTACAAAGACGGCCAGGCCGCTCCTGATCAGCCGGGCACCGTCCTCCAAGGGCACAGCCGGCTACGGGAGCTTGCCTTCACTTTTGAAAACCAGCCACTCTGGGACTACGTTCCATTTATCTGACCAATCAATGCAGCTGCCAGGAAGGAAATGCACGTGTGCCTCCCCACAAACAAACATGAAGGGGGAATGTGTCTGAGCTGGTGGGAAGGGAGGGAGGGGTTCAATGGTTTTGTGCCACCAGATTCTCCAAAACGCAACTGGTCAAACGTGACAGTGGCAACCCGAGGGAAGCTCGACAGGCAGGTCTCAGAATATATCCCTGTCACCCCAGGGTGTCACACGGGCTCCGTGGAGAGACTTTCCAGCTTGGTACACCCCGAGCACAGCCACAGGGAAACACATTCCTGTCTGTCCTAATCTGGAGTCCACGGGGTAACAGCTGTGAGAAGTGGGAGGTGCTTTATCTCCTCTATGACGGACACATTCTCATTTATTCCAGAACACACACATCCTGCCTGCTGCTCCTCTCCATCCCACCCTCCTGAGGCAGGGATGTTCTTGACGGTCAGAACTGCCAGCTCACCCGGCAAAGCCTTGTCACCAGCACCCCAGCCTGGCCAGGTCTCTTGGCTGAGAGAAGCAAGAGCCACCAAGGCTAGCATTTGAAAACCCAGGGGGAGGGGAGGAGAGAGCTCTGACTTCTGAAGACTGACTGCACTCCATCACCACTCGCCTTCCAGACACTGTGCACTGTGCCAATAGCAGTGCCCCTCATCAGGCTGCCCCTGAATGCCACCCACCAGTGACAGAGAGAGAGAGAGAGAGAGAGAGAGAGAGGATTGTGAAGCAGGCTGCTCTGAAATGCCCAATGCTCCTGTACTCCTCCGGACATTAGGATGTGGAGGTCAGAATAAGCCAAATTTCAAACAGTCTGATATGGCCCTTCTGCCCTGCAGCTCCTCTGCTTTGAGTCGCCATTTCAATCTTGGCATCAGACAAACTGCCATGAGAGTGTGCAGAAATGTTAAGGAGTGAACCTTTGCCAGAACCAAAACCGAGTCAAATGCAACAACAATAAAAACACACTTAGGACCTCGTGGGCTTGCAGCCAAGGCGCTGGAACTTGGTGTACGCGTATCCACAAACTCAGGACTCGCCACGGCGACACGGCAGAGATCCTAGCAGAAATTTATAGCCCAGACTGGAGCCGGGCGCTCTTGCAAATGCAAAGCTTTGTTGTCGCTGTGTTTCGTTTTGTTGAGGGGAGGCGGGGGAAGAGAAGGAAAATAAAGAAAGAGAAAGCAACAGATTTAAATGCAATCCTAGCATTTTGGAAATTCTGCGGTGACTTGGGCGATGCCAAGGTCTTTGAACCTCGTTGGAAAATGTCACAATCGATGTTTGAATTAAAAGCCAGTGAGTTTGCCAGGAGACCAATTGTTTAAAATTGGCAGCGTTCCAGACAACTTACGAGGCTGCGCGCTGCCCCGGGCTGAGAGAAAGGCTAATTCCAGGGCAAGTTCATTATCACCGTATTGATAAAGGGGTGATTTTTAAAGCTCATGGTGTGGTTTCTGCGACGTATTAATTAAAATTTAGAGTAATTTACTAGACACAGTCATGGCTTCTGTTGCATTATTTATGCCCCATACTATTTGTGTTTTCTCTGGGGGCTGTGCTTAATCCCCGGTTCCTCCTCACCTGTCTGCCCTTGAAGGCAACAGAAATAAAAACAGGCAAAGCTCACACTAGCCTTTTGGGAAATCACAGAATTAAGAAGCTGTCCAAGGAGGCACTTCACCAAAACTCATTCCTAGACGAGTCCAGTGTGCCCACCCAAACGAAGAAACACGTGTGCTCACGGCCACTGGCCCGGCTTTCACAAACCACTTCTCCGAAGTGCTGGGCCGAGTTTTATGCTCTTTGATAATTAGATGGGAAAAGTCTTCCTCGTCTTCCCCCTCCTCCCCCCCACCCCCCTGTCTTTCCCACGGCATCCCTGAACAAAAGCAGAAAGCAGGGCAAAGAGGAGCAGCTGGGGATAAAACTGGGGGCCGCTGGCATCTGAAGCCCCCAGCCCCACAAGGGCGTGATGCTGAGGCTCCCAGGCGTGCGGGCTGGGTAAGGCCCCCAGTGCTGGCTCTCCCAGGTCCTAAGAGGCAAGCTTGTAGAGGCGTGGTGTGTCCACCCGGCACACCAACAGTAAAAGCACCTGCAAAACACTCCTGTCTAGCTCCCCGCATGTTGGGACAGGGTGCTTCTCTCCGAGCATCCCTCGTTTTGATGTAAGGGAACTTCCGCCATGTATGTCTTGAAGAATTTGAGATCGAAAACGGAGACGAACCAAATAAAAGCCACCACTCCCTGGGAGCGTGGGTGCAGCCTGATGCTCACACACCACTTAAAAGTTGACACATTTTCTACCCTTGCACCTGGAGGCGTCGCTTCGTTTCCATAGTGAACGTGCTATTGAACATCTGTGAACATCTGTAAACATCGTCTTTTTTCGAGTTCTCGTCGGCCAGCAGCGGGTTTGCGGGCCTCACCTGCTGCTGGGAGTGGGGTGGGGGGGGTAGGACAGGACTGGCACCAGGAACTAGGAAGTGACATTGCACCCCCAAAACAGACCGGCACCAGCTGAGGAAATCACTCTCCTCTTGCTTTCCTCACTGTTTTCTTTCCCCTCACCCCACATCCATTTTTACTTATTTGTTTATTTTTACTTTTTCCAGCAACGTGGAAGTCATTTTGGAGGCCCAGGAAAGAAATGTAAACACGTACGGTTAAAACATCAAAGAACTGCGTTTTTGTGGGGTTTGCCATGTTCTTCTAATTCCACAGAGCAAGCAGATGAACAAACTCACCAACATAGCAGAGTCTCTCCACAGGCACAATGTAGAAGAGCTAAACACGTCCGCAATGTAGAAGAGCTAAACACGTCCGATTTTTTAAACTACGTCGCAAATATGTTTTTTAAAAGTAACGCTTTTGAAACAAAACCGAAGCACTTCCCTGGCGGTCTTAGACTAGCCTCCTCTCCGGCTGCTCCGCCTCAGCCCCGCCTGGCTGCCCCAGGCTGCCTCACCCCCAGCTCCCCAACAGGACGGAGCTCGGCGCAGGCAGCCGCGCCGGGGTAGTCCATGGCCAGCTCCCTCACAGTTACTTTCAATGCTTTCGCTCCAAATATTGTTTCCTTTAAAAAGAAACGAGCCCTAACCGGTTTGGCTCATTAGATAGAGTGTTGACCTGCAGACTGAAAGGTCCCAGGTTCGATTCCGGTCAAGGGCATGTACCTTGGTTGCGAGCACATACCCAGTGGGGGGTGTGCAGGAGGCAGCTGATTGGTGTTTCTAACTCTCTCTCCTTCTCCCTTCCTCTCTGTAAAAAAAAACAAACAAACAATAAAATATATTTTTTAAATTATTTTTAAAAAACAAAAAGAAAAAGAAATAAGAGTCATGGGAAAGAAAAGAACTGCGTCTCGCTTTAAAAATGGTCCCTCTGGTTGCAAAGGAAGAAAAAACAGAGTAGACAACCAGCATCTCCGTCCGGAAGGACCTGGATTCCTTCCTCAAGCCAGAGAGGCTGAGCTCCGCCAGCAGCCACTGTCTCGGAACGCCACCGATGGCCTCACCTCTTTTTTATTTTTATTTTTTTGATATATTTTATTGACTTTCTACAGAGAGGAATTGAGAGGGATAGAGAGTTAGAAACATCGATGAGAGAGAAACATCAACCAGCTGCCTCCTGCACACCTCCCACTGGGGATGTGCCCGCAACCAAGGTACATGCCCTTGACCGGAATCGAATCTGGGACCTTTCAGTCCGCAGGCCGATGCTCTATCCACTGAGCCAAACCGGTTTCGGCTGGCCTCACCTCTTGAGGACCAGCCCAGAGCACAGCCTTGCCGGGCCGCCCCGCGCTGACGGTACAGGGAGTGGAGAGAACTCGGGCTGTCACCTCACATATCGGCCCCGTGACTTCCATGCAGCCGGCACCTCACCCTCCTCCCAGTCCTCTCCTGTCAGCACGAAACCCGGAGAGGGAGCCTCGTGCCAACAGGAGGGACATATGGAATCGGGTTCAAGTCACACCGGGCCCCCACCTGGGACAGAGGTGGCTCTGTGTACTTGAATTTGGGAAAACTGCTTCTGACATGCCATAGTCACCTGTGTGTGTTTTTTCTCCAAGAAAAAAAAAACAACTAACCAGCACCAGCAACTAGCAATAAATAGTATTCTCATCCATCCTGGGAAATCAGGAAACACCAGAACTAAACCCGTAAAATATTCCATCGGGTATACAAAAAAAATAAAATTCCATTTAAAACACCACTCTCGCCTTTTTCACAACAGGCTGATTTCAAACATTACATATTAGGTAAATATTTTTATCCCAAGACATGCTAAACATGTCTTTATTTAAAAAAAAAAAAAAAAAGCAAAATCATCATTTTAAAAATAGCTAACCATTTATTTGAGTTCACATTTCAGGGGGAGAAAAACAACTTTCTACAGATTTCAATGCAGAGTTAAAGAGCAGTGACCACGTATATCCCTAAATGTATCCACTCTATGATTCTCTGCTCCGTCTTCCCCCTGAGACCTGATGGAGAAATCACACATTGTATCTGGAGTAGAAGGTGCTAAAGTTACCTGCTGCCCCTGCGGTCTGAGTGCAGGACATTCATGCAGCGCCCGAGCGGGAGGGAGGGAGGGAGGGAGGGAGGAGGGAGGCATGCCCCCCGCCGAGCTGAGCCCTGAGCCAGGGAACCTGTCATGCTGGCAGCGGCCAGAGCCAGACCCCGTGCCCGCGGCACACCCTCCGCCTGTGTGTCTCCCTTACCTACAGCGGGTGCACCAGAGCCTGGTCGGGTTCGTTCCCAGGCCGGGAAGGTCCGCTCAGGAGGCAGAAGACTTTCGCTACCTGCACACCGCGTCCTGCAAAAAGCTACGCGTCCGCCGGGGTGTCAGTGGCTCACAGTTAGTCTCCAGCAGCCCCGCGCTCCGGCTGCACACATCTCATTAGATTAATGCATTCAGCACAGGCAGAAAACTCGATTTACCATAGCTACAGCAATGAATTTCCATTACGATGACAGCTCCAACCACATCATGTCCGGAAAACCAGCCAACCACTGGCTTTTAAAGAACACACACATTTTACATGCAGAAAACGCGAGGTGTGTGTGTGTCTGTGTGTGTGTGTGTGTGTGTGTGTGTTTTCCGTGTTTCCTTCCTCTTAGCAGCCCAACTAAGAGAAATGTGTGCAGTGTAGCTTTTCGACGACATGAGCTGCAAGGTAATGACACTTCTGCTTCTGTGGTAGTTGCGTCCTTGTAATAAACTGAATTATGTCACAATTGTCAGAAGGGGTGTTTCCAACATTTCGGGGTTTCATTACCCCTCCTCTGTTGCCATAGAAACCAGACTGTAACATCATCTCTTTGTCCCAGCCCTGCAGCAGTGTGGGCTAGCATCGGGCTCACGAGATACTGGTGAGCTGGAGGAGTAAATATTTGGCTTTAGACAAATAAAAAAAAAAGGGGGGGGAGGAATATGCTCATGCCGTCGCTGTTCAGGAGAGAACATGTGTGTGTGTCTGTGTGTGTGTGTTGCGCAGAGGTGTGTGCACACACAGGTCAATGCCCGTGGTCAGACGTAGTAACTCCACTGCCGCAGGCAACACCTTTGTCATGGCCTTGAATCAGCTCCTGGACTCGGGTTCCAGGTCTGAGTGTGTACGTGCGGAAGTGTTTCCGCACCATGGACCGGGTCAGGGCCCGCCGGGGCTGGAACAGTCCTGACATAGGAAAAAGGTTGCTATGTATCCTCCGTGCCCTATGGTATGGCTTGTAATAAACAAACTTATCCTGGAAAAGTGACTTTTTCTCCCCTTTTTTTTTTTCTTTTTTTTTTTAAATAAAGTGGAGCCTTGCCCATTTCATTTGCCCCATTCTGGACATTATTCCCAGTGTTTTCTACAAGAAGAAACGTTTATCCAACAAACATGTGGCCACCCACAGCTTTCCTCCTGGGGCTGAGCAACAAGCAAGTTTAGCCAGGAGGGGACACCACGCGGAGCTAGTTGAGGCTTAGGCCACAACCTGGATGGGTCCTGTGAGTGAAAACAATAAAATCCCAACATAGAATTTATATCAATACATAAAATCCCCTACAGATTTTCTGAATCTATAGGCAGCATCACATTAGAAAGAAAAAGAACTCTCTCTCCAAAAATTATGACCATAAGGAAAAAATTAAACTTTTTGAAGTCAAAGCATTGTACATGTTGAGCAAGAAGTAGATTCACTATTTAGTTCACTTAATTATCTAATTTTATGGTCTGGTTTGGTTTTGTGTGGGAAAAAGGCAAGTTTGGTAGTTTTTCATTTTGGTCATTGAATGTAAGTTGGTTTCATTAGAGGAGGGGGAGAGAGAGGAGGGGAGAACGAGCAGAAGAAAAGGAAACAGGACCCAATGGGTGATTTCAGTTCCGCCAACATCTCTCTCGGCCGCAGTGGCCGTGTGCACGCGGGGCCTCGAGCACAGCCCCACACTCGGCTCCACAGCACGTGGGGTGGTCTGAGATGCTAAACCCGTCGACACTTTGAAGGGTTTCTTCAGGTAAAAAATAACAAGGCTTCCTCAGATAATGAAAAACATTTCCCAAACCCTATAAAAGAAGAAGACAACGTGACAGAATCTGTCTGGAAAAAAAGGAGTTTTTGGTTTTCCTCCCCATTTCGAGAATTCGTGATTCTGATTCTCGGTGCCCGAACCTCTGAACCTCCTCCCAGGTGTCTGTTGTTGGCGTCTGTCCTTCAGTGGATGTGGCTGGGGTGCGGGCAGTGACATCACAAGTCAACCACAAAATGAGCCTGAACCTAGAAATTAACCAAAGCTGGTTTGCTTAATACATAGATGATAGATAACTCAATAGATTGATTGATAGATGCCAAATAGATATGCCTTAAGATAGCAAATCCATGTTTTTAAAAATCCTAAATGTTTTTGATTGCAAGAAACACTTTAAGTGAAACATGTAAGAGAAAAGGAATTTGGTGGGATGTACACACGCTAAGGGGTCTGTTAAGAAGAAAGGGGCCCTTCTGAATGAATGCGTGTCTCTCAGCCTTGTCCTCCCTGGGCGGAGATCAGGCGGCTTCATTGTGCCACGTTGCTAGTTTTCTTTCGCTCTGTGGTTACGTCTCTGTCTCAGACAGGCTCCACTCTTTCCACACGAATGCCTCTGGGAAAGAGTTGTTAGCAAAACGTGCAGTGGGAGCAAGCAGGTTACTATGAGGGCGTCCCAAACACAGACTTACTCAGAGGAGTCTCCCCTGGAAGAGTAGTCAGTTCTGTGAGCTGCTGATAATGAGTTATGGTGGCAGCCCAAGCATCAGCTGGACAGGGCTGTGTCCCGGACCGGAGAGTCAGTGCTACTGCAAAAACAACCCTTGTTATCATAACCCTTGTTAACATCTACTGGGGAACTGCTATGTATACATCCTGTTCATGTTATCTCATTTACCACAACCCTATGATGTCAGTAAGGTAAGTGCCATCTCCGTTTTACAGATAAAGAAACAGACTCAGAGATATTAACTAAGTTGCCCAAGGTCACACAGCTTAGAAGTGTTGGCTACAGGCTTGACCCAAGGCAGCCCGTTCACCAAGGCACAGTAATTAATCACATGGCTACGTGGCTCCCTGGCACTGCCCTTGTTCCAGCTCTGTCATTAACCCAATAACATTGGTCAGATCACTGTTCTTCTATAACAGTGGAGGGATGGGGGGGACTAGGTCGTTTTTGTGGTCCCTTATGGCTCTGACATTCTAGAGTGAGATGAGTCGCTTTACCTGCAGGCTGGAACAAACCACGCTGGCGTTGGAGGAGAACTCAGCTGTGGTGGTGGCTACGGCCATGACTACTCACAGGCAAACAGACTTACTCAGAGGAGACTCCCCTGGAAGAGTAGTCAGTTCTGTGAGCTGCTGATAATGAGTTATCATTATCTGCCAATAGACTAAGACCTGGCAAACTAGTGCTTTGGACTGTCAAGTTGTGATGGAGATGCGGGGAAGAGAGCATGGAGAAAGACAGGGAAGTTTTAAGGCCAGGACTCCATTCCTGAAGCAGCAAAGGAGACCATTCCCCCACGCTCATGTAGCCCCTGACTTTGCTTCCACATCAGTCGGCACTAACTTTTCCTCAAGTGTTCCTGGAAGTTTGAGACGTTTCGTGGTTATGGAAGGTCTGAGGCTTAGGGTCCCCATTTGGCCAAAGGGGAACCTCTTTAGTCAGACTAGAGGGTGGAAGGGAGTGATAAATGGCAGACGGCTGGGCTCCCCCTTCCTGCCGCTTCTTCAGCTCAAAACCCCAATTTCCATGGGGCCAGAGCTCAGTGTATGCAACCAGGGATCTTTCTAAATTAAAACCAAGACTGTTCTTTGTAGTGAAAATAAACAGGAACAACCTTTCAACTTCCAATAAAAATATAAAAGAATATACATGAGGGGGGTGGCAATAGAGGAATAAGGACACATATGTAATACCTTAATCAATTAAAAAAAGAAGAAGACTATACAATATATCTAGAAAACTATGAAAGTAAGGGGGAAATCTTCTCAATATATACTTGCTTTAAAAATCACAGGTTAGAAATCTTATTTTGAAAAAATACAATGGTTTGTAAAATACTAGAAATAGAATCTCTTGGTAATAAGACTATGTATAATTTTTATCTTCTTAATCTTTTTTTTAAACATATTCTACAAAGGAAGACTTTCTTTTTATGATAGATAATACAAAGTCATACAAATTAAATGATTGATTAGTAACAGAATTTTTCCTTTTAACATCTGCAAACACATTTGCTTATAATTCTCATAAATCGTAAGTCTTAAATTTGTTTGTCATCAATGAAGTAAAAATAAGACCTCTGCCCAGTGGTTGTAGGCTACCTTGAGCCACAGCCTTAGCCAATGCTTCAAGAGCAAAAGTCTGTCCCCCACTCACTCAGGTCATCCTGCCGTCCTCCACGCTGGGCTTCCCCAATCATCTCATGCCTTTGAGCCCACGCAGGGTGCTCAGCAGAGCCAACGCACAATCAAGGCAGACCCTCTGTCCTTCCCCACCGGAGGGCTCCCACAGTCTGTGGGGACCTCTCAGAGCTTATAACAGTCTTGTTTTAGTAAAGCTGTGTACTACAGACCTAGGCTATTGGGAGAAGGAAAAGTGATCACATGCAGTGAAAAACACTCCTGTCCAAGGAAAGGAAGACTCAGTCCAGTTCTCGTGAACCTCAGCCATGACTCCTCTCAGATGGGCCTCCTCTCCTTGTGGCTAGGAGTCAAGGGTTGACTTAGTGGGAATATCTGTGTCCTGGTCTGGCAGCTTTAGTGGTAGCAAGCCCAGAGACCCTCATCCCAGGGCAGTGCCTGGTGACAGACTGAAAGGGCCAGGGCACGTGCTGACAGCCAGGACAGCTGAGGGGCAAACAGGAGGGACTTCCTCTTTGGCCACTCAGGTGTAAACTCCAAGATGGCTGGGTGCTCCCCGCTGTATCCCCAGCATGTAGCACAGCATCTGCTCTGTGATAGGAAACCCACAAATAATTATTGATGAATGAATAAAAGAAACTAGGGGTTAAGGAAGGTGACCAATAAATATTAGTATAGATTTTTAGACTTGATTCCTTCCCAGCCCCCCCCAAAAAAAATATTGACTTTATATGTTTGTCATCAGAAAAAAAATCTTAATTTGTAAAAATGGAAAAGATGATTTCTATTTCCTATCTCTCTCCTCTGTTATGTTCTTAAAATGTCAGCTCCTTAGGATTGTTTCTGCTTGAGCTGTGTGAAACTAGTAAACATGTATTCAACATTTATACAGGTGATCGCCAAGCACTTTGGTTTATTTGCTATGTTTCCCTTTTCCTCCTAAAATATTTTCCCCAAGTTAAATATAAGAGATCAATCTTTGAGTGCTGAGAAACTCTTGGAATTAGAGAAAGGGAACCTCAGCCAGACTTGTATGAG